TGGAGAGTCCCATGGACAGAGGAGCCTGGTGGGTTACAGTCCTTAGGGTTGCAGAAACTCAGAGACAACTGAAGGGATTTAGCACTCGGGCACACACACACACACACACACACACTCACGCACAATCTGGAGGCACATCTCAGAAATTCACTTTTAAGAAAGAAACTGGGATCATTCATCACGACACGAACACATTCATTGATGGCGCACTTGTCTATTAAGCTCCCATCTCTGTCTCACAGGTGGAAAAAGGTCCTGTTTATTCTCTTTACTGATTCATCTATCTTTCTTTCCCAGGCAAAGGTGTGTGCGCTGCAGCTGTGTTCAGAAGGCAGGATGCCCCAGCCAAGGAAGGAAGTCTCGTCTCTGGTTTAAATTTTCCAGTGCAGCCTGCTTCAGAAATAAATCATTAAAAAAAAGATGCCCTTCCCTCATCTGCTGCAGACAGCCCCCAAATACTCCAACCCCACGAGATCTGAGCTGAGCTCTGGGCGAGATGAATGTAGACCAGCATCGTCCAATTCCCTGGCATCAGCTGACGGGGCAGCTGTCGGGCAGTTGAGAGCTGACGTGCCAGGGAAAGTGAAGCCCAGTGACAAGATGGATGGGCATCCGTGGCTGCTGTTTCATGCCTAATTAACGAGAGGAAAGGCCAACAATGGAGACTGTAAATCGTCCTTGGAAAACAACCCAGGGAGTGGCTCCCCCTTTGTCCCCAGGCCAGGACCCCCGCCCCTTTCCTGGGCCTGATGGGGCCGGCTTCTCAGCACCCCTTCGTCGGCTCTCCTGCTTGTCCCGGCCCCCACTTCCTCTGCATTTCCTTTCTCCAGCCAGGCCTCACCGCCTTCCTGTTTTCCTGGTCATGAAGGATTCCAGCCGAGGAAGAGAAACAGTACATGAAGCCTTTTCTTTGTCTTCACCCGCTAATTCACAATCAGAAGGAAAAGAACTGCTTCAGGTGTTTCAACAATGAGATGCACTGAACTCACCACTCATTCCAGAGCTTGTCCAGGGAAAGTCCAGATGCCCTGGGGGGATGCCTCTATGGTCCCCCACACACCCTGCCCCTGGGGCAAAGTCCGGGGTCACCCCAAACCCAAGCTTTAGTCACTTTTCATGTGGCGACAGCTTAATATCTTCCAGCCTCAGATATTAAAATGAAACTGCAAAAATATATAAATAAAACATCTTTTCCATTTATTTCAGATTCCATTTCTTCTTTAAAACATACATAGTGCCAAAGGCAATCTTGGCGCTCATGCGTTCCTGTCCTCGATTTTTGGACACCACTGCCACATACCGTCCACAAATGTTGGCACCGGTGTTAAGTAACTCTCCCAGAATTGCTTCCCTGCCTGGCAGAGAATTACAACAGCTGATTTCAAACCCAGAGAGACGTAGCTGAGGGAGGGTTGGGTGGTGGTGCACAGGGTCTGACCCTGGGATTGGTTTTCCCCATTGAGGAGACTCTCGAGGGGTATCCTCCCCGAGGGTGATGAGGGCAGGCGGGTGCAGCCCTGAATGGCCATGCCCGATTCAGAGACTGAAGGGATTTAGCACACATACACATACACACACACACACACACACTCACACACAATACAGAGCCCTTGGCAGTTGTGTCTTTTTCCCTCCTTCCCCCTCTATCTGCAAGTCCCTTCTGCTGATGCTACAGAGACTTCTGAAAGTTCTTGGTTTAGACCTACCTCCTGTTTTGTTAGGGTCCAGGGATGGGGCCCAGGCATTTGTATTTCGATCAAACAATCACCCATGTTTATTGTCCATCCGTGCCCAGCACTTGGGTCACTACAGCCTGTTAGTTGCCTTGAGATGCACTTGCTGCAGTTCCTGCCAGACTCAGACTCAGCCTGGCCACGGGGACATGAAATCGGATGACAGTCTGGGGTCAGGGTGACGGGACACTTGTTTCCAAAGCATTGCAGGGAGCCCCTCCCTGCAATGAGCTCCCCCCACGCTGTTTGATGAGCTCTTCCTGGTACCTGTGAGCAGCAGAGTGGGTGTTCATGCCCTTGGAGACCAGCGTGGTCCCCAGTGAACCCACCTGGTCCTGTGCTGCTTGCTCGGGTCTGGCTCTTTGCAAGGGCTGGAGGCCTCGGGACCTGCCTCCCTCCAGCTGAAAACTCCAGTGACAGAGGATGAGATGACCAACCTATGAAGAGTCCCTTAGGAGGAAACACATTCTCTCCCACGCTTCGGGAGACAGATGGAGGTGAAAGTGGAAAGACAAGTCTTCTCAGTCTTTCCTCTGTTGGTCAGTGGCAAGCAGGGGAACTGTCTGATTCAAAACCTTTCCTATGGGCCACGAATGGACTAGTTTTTAGACTCACCTGGGAGTTTGGAAGGGCCCAGTCCATGCCTGTTCCCCAGGGGATGCTGGATCCTTTAAATTCAGCCAAGGTGTGCTGGGCCTGCACTGGCTTCAGCCTCCCATCCATACCTGCAGCTGCCTCCACACAGGAATGCACCCTTCTCAAACCCAGTGGTTCGAATGGCACTGCCTCTCACTAGGAGAGCGATCGTATGGATGGGCTGCCTGCCACAGGGGCTTCGGCTCATCCCAACCCAACCCAGAGCTGCAGCTGCCCATGACAGAAGTGGCTTCTCAAGAATGAGGGCCCTTTCTTTCAGGGAAGTGAGGGTAGACCTCAGCCTGCTTCTTCTGCAGCCCCTCCCCTGCCCTGGGAGTGGGCCCTGGGGCGGCTGTGCCCAGGCCCCAGGAGGGAGAAAGAGGTTAAAGCCTGGTGTCCCCCGTGATTCTTCGTGAACATAGATGTCAGCCTGAGCCAAGTCATCATGAGGGGGCTGGGGGCTCAGTTCTTTCTCTTAACATTGTGATTGAATAGGAAAGGCATCTTGCTGAGCTCCTAAGGTCTCCTAAGGAAAAGGGCCGTTGATCCCCTTAACATGGAGAATGGTTTGATCGCTCCGTTGGAGGCATATGGTGTCTGGGCAGCAGCAGGTGACATTCTCCTTGTATGATTTATTTATATCCCACCCCTTGAAAAACAAAAAAACAAAAACCTCCATTTCTGGGAGGTAGTTGTGCTTTTCATTTTGTTTCTTTGGGTCATCCATGAAAATTTTAGCACAATTTGAAATCTGATACAAAGTTTAAGTTTACTAAAAAATAAGGCATTTTCTATCTATGGGCAAATATTTGCCAGGGGTGGCAAGAATGGTGGTCTGGTGAGGTCTCCCGGAAACCCTCTTTCCCTGTTTCCACCTGGAGACATCACAGGCACTGTCCCGAGTCCCTGCATTAAGTCCTAAGTACACATTCCTTTTCCAAACAGAAATATAGCATCACAGAATACTGCTTGCATATCTCAAGGCTTGATTTTTTTCTTTTTACATTTAACCTAATTTTACTCATGCTTGCCTTTGGATGAGGAATAGATTATTCAGTAAAGCCATAAAGTAAAAGCAAAATATGTCATCATGCACAACTTTTATTTATTTTTTCATGTACAACTTTTAAACTACTATATTGATGTATCTTAATTACTTTCATGTACACTAGTCTAACATTACATTAAAAAAATAAACACAGTTGAGACTTCAAGGAGCATTTTAAAAAGTTATTTTTAATTGAAAGATAATTGCTTTACAGAATTTTGTTATATCAGCCACAGGAGTACATATGTGATAAAGTAATCCCTACATTTTTCTTTGTAGATAGATCACGAACTTCCAAGAAAGAAATTCCTATACACAGTGAGCACTTGACTTAAAATGAATACTTTAGTAAATTAAGTGGGTGGATAGTCTTAGGATAAGCTGACATTATATATTCAGCTAGCGTATGTGTTAATCACTCAGCCGTGTCCAACTCTTTTTGACCCCATGTACTATAGCCCACCAGACTCCTCTGTCCATGGAATTCTCCAGGGAAGCATACAGGAATGGGTTGCCATTCCCCTCTCCAGGGGATTTTCCTGACCTAGATATCAAACCCAGGTCTTGTGCATTGAGGGCAAATTCTTTACCGTCTGGGCCACCAGGGAAGCCCATATATTCAGTTAAGTAGGCAACAAACCATAGTCCAATGGTTGAATTTTATTTCTAGTTTAAAACACAGATAAGAAAGTGAAAATGAAGTTGCTCAGTCACGTCCAACTCTTTGCCACCCCATGGACTGTAGCCTACCAGGTTCCTCCATCCATGGGATTTTTCAGGCAAGAATACTAGAGTGGGTTGCCATTTCCTTCCCCCAAAACACAGATAGGACATGATTAATGCTTATTAACCAAGACACATCTCCAGAAGCTAAATTCTGGAGCATTGAATCACACTTGACAAGACGCTTCCTGGGGGAGGGGGTGTCCCCCCCACAGGAAGGCTCTGTCCCCAGGGAGGTGTGAACTGACGTCTTGTGACACAAGAGTCTGTGCTTTTGGCTAAGAGTGACTGTTTTCAGCCAGCCGCAGCTAAGTGACCTCAGAGTCCATTCAGGCTGGACAGTCACCCTGATGACAGCAAGGCTCCCCCCGGCCCCCTGGGATGGGGGACTGTGTCAGAGGGTGACACGCAGTGAGAGGACAGTCCTGAGTGAGCCCCGAGCAAGTGCTTCCTGTCAAGGGAGTGGCTCATTCTGGGCGTTGGCCACTTGAGACCCTGGTCAGGGTCTTCAAGAACAGCAAAGCAGCGGAGGACCCTCGGGTGGCCGAGAGGAGGCACTGACTTTGCTCGGCGCTCTTACCATCCCTCAGAACAGATGGCCTGTGATAATGTCCCTGGCCTCAGTCCCTACGTGGCCAGTGTCTCCTTCAGTAGAAATGAGGATTTGCTCTGAGATCTGCTCTGGAAGGAGGACTCCCCACAGCACCGGCACCCCATGTAGTCCCTGCTGAACAAGCCTGGGCATTGTGGCTGATGGAATACGGGGGAGGAAAGTCACCCCTGGGCCTATGAAGCCCCTCATTCATGTTTGGGGGATCCTGAGGCCACACCCACATTCCTCCTGGCTGAACCCACCGTAGTGGACTCAGCTGCACTTTTGAAGGTTCAGCTCCTCTCTGAGCAGATCCAGAGAGTGGAGGAGAAACTTGAAGCTGGTGTTGAGCAGGATTCCGAGGACCAGAGCTGGCCCTGTCCGAGGAGGGCGGGAGGCCCACAGGAGCAGGGTGGGCCCTGCAAGTCCCTGCCCCAGGCCGGCTTCCCGCAGACACTCTAGTGTGTGAGCAACACTGCTGCAGATACGGAAGCTTCAGCTGGAAAAGTGCCCTCCTCTCTCGTTGTTGAGTCATTGTCGTGTCCAATTCTTTGTGACCCCAGGGACTGCTTTCCTGTCCTTCCCTTTCTCCCGGAGCTTGGTCAAACTCATGTTCATTGAATCAGTGATGCCATCCAACCATCTCATCCTCTGTCATCCCCTTCTCCTTCTACCTTCAATCTTTCCCAGCATCAGGGTCTTTTCCAATGCGTCAGTTCTTTGCATTAGGTGGCCAAAGGATTGGGGCTTCAGCTTCAGCATCAGTCCTTAAAAATGAATATACAGAACTGATTTCCTTTAGAATTGACTGGTTGCTTTAGAATTGATCTCCTTGCTGTCCAAGGGACTCTCAAGAGTCTTCTTCAACACCACAATTCAAAAGTATCAGTTCTTCAGTGTTCAACCATTTTTTTTGGTTTTTTTTTTCATTTATTTTTATTAGTTGGAGGCTAATTACTTTACAATATTGTAGTGGGTTTTGTCATACACTGACATGAATCAGCCATGGAGTTACATGTATTCCCCATCCCGATCCCCCCTCCCACCTCCCTCTCCACCCGATTCCTCTGGGTCTTCCCAGTGTACCAGGCCCATGTGCTCAACCATTTTTATGGTCCAACCCTCACATCCATTCATGACTACTGGAAAAACCACGGCTTTGACTATATGGACCTCTTTCTGGGGCACAGGAAATAGGAAGAGGAGCTGAGACAACAGAGGATGTGCTGTGAATCTTGCCAGACTCTTCTCTCCCAGGTGCGGGTCTTACATGAAAACCAGGCCTGTCTCCCCCAAGTGTGGGTCTCAATGACCAGACGGTGCTGAGAAGGTGACCTTGGGGTCAGAAGCAGGCCAGAGTAGTGAACCAACTTGCAGCTGGGACTGTAAGCCCTAGACTGGCCTCTCTGTCCAGAGGTGGTGACACACGTCTGGACCCATGAGCACTGGTGTAGGTGGCAGCCTGTCTGGGATGACCTGTTTCCTAGGTAACAATATTGATCTTGGGTTGGATCATGCACTCATTTATTTATTTTTAATTATTTTTTAATATGAGGAATATTGCTTTACAGTGCTGTGTTGGTTTCTGCCAGACAACAATGTAAATCAGCCATAATTATACATAGAGACCCTCCCTCTTGAGCCTGCCTCCCCTCCCCCAGCCCACATTCTAGGCCATCACAGAGGGCTCCCCGTGTGGTACAGCAACTCCTCACCAGTTGTGTATTTCACACACAGTAGTGTACATGTTAATGCTACTTTCTCCATCTGTCCCACTCTTTTCTTTCCCTACTGTGTCCACAAGTCTGTTCTCTACATCTCCGTCTCCATTCCACTTACTCATTTAGCCAACAGTTGCTGAGCCAGACTGGGGGACCCTTTAGCCTGGGGTGATTGGAGGAGCAGGAGCGAGGGTCAAGGGTCAGGCAAGGAACAAGGTGAAGGGTGAGTGGTCCCGGCCCTCCGGAAGCATGCAAACTGCCTTCTGGGACCACCCCCTCCCCAGGACACACCCACATCCACCGTCTCCTGACTTGGGGTATTGCAGACCCCCAGCACGCCCCTCAGGCCTCTGGCTGGCTGAGCAGGGAAGGGGAGTCAGGTGCACAGACTGCAGTGCGGGGGGGTGCTGAGGGGCTGCGCTTGGGGCAGCCTCTCCCCAGGTCCCTGTGGTTGGTCCTGGGTCCCCCTAGGGTCTCGCCCCTCAGCCCCTCACCAACCGATCTGAACCTTCAGGGAATGTGGGATGTCCATGTGGGGCCACTGGAGGCCTGGCAGCAGGTGTCGCTGTGGCAAAGGCCTGAGTGTCCCTGGGGGAGGGAAATGGGCCGCAATAGTACCACTGAACCAAACCCCTGCAGACTGAGGACGGCTGTTAAAGGACAGTCTTTCTACAGATGCAGCTGTCAAGTTGCTCTGTCTTTCACACATGGTAGTGAGCAACCCATCTCCAGAAGCATGCAAGAGGAAGCTGCATAACCACCAGTCAGGCAGGTTGCAGAGGAAATGACCCCATCGGGTAGGGGTTGGCTGAGGTCACTCCCTCATTGAGCAACGTGATATTGAACGCCAGGCGGTGTTCTTGGCGACTCGTGATGGTGACTCCTGGGGTGAGTGCCCCGTCCCCGACGGTGTCACTGACTCCTCTGACTCAGCGGAGTCAGTCCTGCAGCCTTTCCTTGGTGCTGCTTTTCTGGTTGCTGCTTGTGTTTTGACGACCAAGTCCAGAGTCCTGGGTGACTACCACCCATCATCGCATCAGACTCCAGCCTTGGCTTCTGACATCTCCGCAGCAAGAGGGAGACGAGGCCAGGAGCCCTGACTGTGCAGACACACCCAAGACCCCAGGGAGGATGCAGCAACTTCCGGTTCATGTGTTATCCCATCACCGTTGTCAGAGTCGTCAATCACTGGGCTCTGGATACAGCAAAGGGCTTCGTGGGCCCAAACATCTCATCACAGGGATATCGTGGGGCTCGTGGTCAGGAGGATTATCCCAGGGAGGGGTTATCCGAGGGGTGGGGGTCAATCTCTCAGACAAATGAATGTTCTTGATGGCTCAACTTTAACCTCTTTAACAGGTAACAAAAAAGAACTACACTTGGTCCTATTTATTTAAAAATTGAATTATCCCCCAATTGACACACATTTGTCAAGAGGCATATTAGCAATGCAGACAAGCAAAACCAATACACAATCCACAAATTCCCTTAAACAGCACCGCTCAGAAACTCTGTGGGCTTTTCTGGGTATTGGTGTGGATGTGAGTGTGAGTGTGTGTGTCACTGTAGTAATAAAATCACACTGTAAAACCCAACCACGATGTGCTTTTTCATATACCTTGTGAAGGTCTTTCTATGTTAATATGTTTACTTTTGAAGTCACCCAACACCCTGCAAGCACAGGTGTAGATGTTTTCTAAGCTGTGACTACTTTAAAAGAAATCTGTCTAAAACGAGTCAGAGCACACGCCCTCCTGCTTCTGATTTCCCAATCAGAGTGGGAACATGACACAAGCTGAACTCTGGGGGCCCCGGGTTCACTGTTGTTCAATGACCCCCACGTGCAGTTTCTGTAAGGCGGGGTTAAATAGAGAGAAGAGCTCCAGGTGAGCGATCGGACAGCTCTGGGGCATGTTCTAGAGAATATTCTGGATTTTATCCTGAGGACAGCTTCCCCACAGGGCTCCCTGCCCCCACAGCCTCCGGCTGTGCCCAGGATTTCTTTTCTCCTCCCTGAGTCAGTGTAGCACATTGTAACAGGGGCCGGGGACTTTCCTTGCCATCTCAGTCCTGGCCAGTCCTCAGCTTGGAGATGGGAAGGATTTTACCCAGAGTAAGAATGGATCACGACAGCCATTGTATGTGGAATCTAAAAAGAAATCATACCAATGAACTTACAAAATAGAAACAGAGTCACAGACTTAGAGAGCAAACCTGTGTATGCCAGGGGGAAGGATGGGGGAGGGGATAGCAAGGGAGTTTGGGATGGACATGTACACACTGCTATACCTAAAATGGATAAGCAACAAGGGCCTACTGCATAGCACAGGGAACTCTGCTCAATGTTATGTGACAGCCTGGATGGGAGGGGAGTTTGGGGGAGAATGGATACATGTATATGTTTGGCTGAGTCCCTTTGCTGTCCACCTGAAACTATCACAGAGTTGTTAATCGGCTATACCCCAATATAAAACAAAAAAGTTTAATAAAAAAAAGAACGGATCACGAAAGGGATGAATGTCTGTTTCCCATTGTCGAGTGGGCCCCTGGACTGACCCCACCTGGTTTTTACGTACAGGGCCTTTGGGCTCATCACAGGCATGGTGACTCCAGGACTTGGTCCTTCCCTACCGGGTCACTTAACTCCTCTGCAGGACTGCCACACCAGCGATTGTCCTTTGGAGAGGAGAGAATCAGTGGAACAGGAGGAACGGACTCTCAGAATTGCACCTGACATGGAGCCTGCATCCATGTCCCCTGGAGTGACCCTCAGGATGCAGATTCCAGGGCCCAAACTGACTCCTCTGCTTGGAATGAGTCGAGGGGGGACCCTCATTGACATGCTCGAAAGCAGCACCCCAGTGCTCACGGGAGGGAAAGCTCACGGCTCCACTCCTGCAACGCTGCTTCTCCTGAACTGTCGACCAGGAAGCACTTTGATCCTTGACTATTTGCTGGATGCCTGGTCGGGGGTGACTGGGGGAAACGGGAGGGAGAAGATCAAGGAGAATGGATGCTTATCTCCCTGTGTGTGTGTGTGCACATGTGCGTGCACGCGTGTGTGTGTGTGCAGTCGTGTCCAACTCTTTGTGACCCCCATGGACTGTAGCCTACCAGGCTCCTCTGTCCATGCAATTTTCCAAGCAAGAATACTGGAGTGGGTTGCAATCTCCCCATATTTCATACAAAATTTTTCCTTTGTGTTTCTCTTTGGCCTTTGTGATTCCACCTGATAAATGTGTCTCCTTGCTTTTCTTTCCAGAATGTCCTCTCCTACCCATGTCCTCACAGACTCTGGCCAGGCCCCGGCCAGGCACTGACCCTCAGTGGCTGTCCATCTCCTGAGACCTGCTGTGTCCCCAAGCTAGGAAGGAGAAAAGACAGGAAACACAGTGATAATGCTGGGGTCAGGGTGCTGCTGCTGCTGCTGCTAAGTTGCTTCAGTCATGTCCAACTCTGTGCGACCCCATGGATGGCAGCCCACCAGGCTCCACCACCCCTGGGATTCTCCAGGCGAGAACACTGGAGTGGATTGCCATTTCCTTCTCCAATGCAAAAAAGTGAAAAGTGAAAGTGAAGTCAGTGTCAGGGTTGGTGGGGGGGTGCGGTAAACCGATGTCTTGATTAGCTGGAGCAGATATTCCCTGGGTCTTGAGAGGAAGATTTTATGAATCTGTGTGGTCTGAATGGACAAGTTCATGCCGATTACTTTGGGTTGATTTTGGCTCTGCTGGTAGGCGA